ATTTCCTATTAAAAATAACCCCAAACTTTGCAAAAATAAATATATGGATGCATCCAGGTGACCATAAATCATCCTTAACGTTCTCTGTTTTTGAAATTCTTTAAAAAAAATAAAATCCAACAGTGAATTCTTTCATCCAGGCTGCACCCTTGGATCCTCAGCTGATTTTTGGGATTTATCCCAAATGATTCTTCACCGAAAGCAGAAACATTTTATGAGGTTTAAAATTAATTTTTATTAATTTCTTAATTTTTCCAGTGAGGTCAAAAAGGGGAAAAATTGTTCAATGAGGAAAAAACCCCACAATTTTCCCTCCTAAAATGCATTTTGTTTTGGTTTTTTTTGCTTTTACGGAGAACCTGCAGCCCTTTCCCTCCGCCCTTGGTTCTCCAGGGACTCCCTGTGTTCCCAAAACCGCTGGAATGGCATTTCCGATATAAAAGCCCCCAAATTATTGTAAATTATTGACAGTAAAATCCTATAAGACCATAGAGGACCATTTCTCACTGCCAGGAGAAATGAGAGCCCTGATGAAGCAGAAAATAAAAAAAATCTCATTAATGTTCTGGATGCAAACCAGAGGTGTTCTCCACAAAATAAACATCAGCTTAAATTGTTGACGAGCCAAAAAATTCCGTGTTCTTTAGGGCCATAAAAGGTTTAATTCATTTCCCACCTTCCACATTGTCCTTCTAAAGCTCCTTTGGAGAGTGATTGTCACGGTTCTGTCCCAAAAATATGCTTTTTCCTCAGAAAACGGGGAATCACAGTGATTTGAGTCCAGCCCACTGCCCTACACACAGCTGTGGGGTCRTGGTGGGGTTTTCTTTCAATGCTGATGCCAGGGGAAGAGTTCCCGCTGAAATACCCGAGCAGTTCCTCACACACCTTCGATTCTCCGCAATACCGCAATGTCCGTGGCTTCTCCTTGGAGCTCCACGCTTCGATCCTCTACGATTCTGCAACGCTCGTGACTTCTCCTTGGAGCTCCACACTTTTGATTCGCCCGATTCTGCAACGCCCGCAGCTTCTCCTTGGAGCTCCACGCCTTCCATTCACCTGATTCCACAACGTCCGCGACTTCTCCTTGGAGCTCCACACCTTTGATTCTCTGCAATTCTGCCATGTCCGCAGCTTCTCCTTGGAGCTCCATGCCTTCGATTCGCCCGATTCCGCAATGCCCGCGGCTTCTCCTTGGAGCTCCACACTTTTGATTCTCTGCGATTCCCCAATGCCTGCAGCTTCTCCTTGGAGCTCCACATCTTCGATTCGCCCGATTCCGCAACATGCGCGGCTTCTCCTTGGAGCTCCACGCCTTCGAACAGCCATGATTCTGCAATGCCCACAGCTTCGCCTTGGAGCTCCACACCTTYGATTCTCCGCGATTCCGCAATGTCTGCAGCTTCTCCTTGGAGCTCCTGGAGGTTCCCATGGCCAGGAACCGCCCCGAGCAGCTCTGCTGAGGGCGGGTGCGGTGTCAGGGCAGTGCCACCRTCACCAGTGCCACCAGCAGGGCCATGGATGGCACCCCTCGGTTGCCCCCGGACGCTCGGCGCGCCTGCAGCACGGCCAGGACGGCGTTGGTGGCGTTGGTGGGGATCTCCACGTTGCAGATCATTCCTTCGCAGCAGGAAACGCACTCCTGGAGGGGAAAAAATAACTCTGAGCTCCTGCTCTGCCATTTTTACACAAAACAATTCCTCTGCAGCCCCAAACTCAAGGACACCTCCCTGGGCCAGGCCCCAAGAGATGGAAACAACAGAGAATTGGGGGGAGCCAACTTGGAGTGAATGACTGCATTGGCTGAGCTGCAATTGGAGGATTCAGCAAATCCCGATGTGCGAATGGACAAAAGTGAGAAAGGGTGAAAAACCCGTGAGCCATTGTCCATTGTGGATGTGGGACTGCTCTGGATGGCCCTGAAGGCCCCACCATGAACAGAACTGCTCTGGATTCTCTCAATTCTGTCCAGACTCTGGTTTAGGTAAAACCGGATTTAGGCCTCAAGAAGGCCCCAGGTTTGGTTTTTTCCCATGGAACACAAGCTCAGTTATGTCTCATTTAAGCCAATGGCAAACAGAGCCTTGCACAACCTCACTGAGAGCTCAAATCCTGAGCTCCCTGCCCTGGGAACACCCCAAAAGCCCCCAGTGTTCCCCCGGAGTCACGGCCATCTCATCACAGGAAGGGAAGGAGGGCCTGGGCYGGCGGTTCCTGCAGGAATTCCATCGCCCTGCACCCCAGGGTGGCTCTGGGCACTGCAGCCTGAGCCCAGCAGGAAAAACCAGTCCTGGAAGGCACAGCTCCAGCCCTGGGCTGCGCTGACACTGGGAATAGGGCAGGAGTAGGGCAGGAATAGGGCAGGAGTAGGGTGAGAGCAGGGCAGGAATAGGGCAGGAATTGGGCGGGAGTAAGGTGGGAGTAGGGTGAGAGCAGGGCAGGAGTAGGGCGGGAATAGGGCAGGGCAGGAGTAAGGAGTAGGGTAGGAGCAGGGCAGGAGTAGGGCAGGAATAAGGCGGGAGTAGGGCAGGAGAAGGGCAGGAATAAGGTGGAAATAGGGCTGGAGTAAGGCTGGAGTAGGGCCAGAGCAGGGCCGGATTAGGGCCAGATTAAGCCAGAGTAGGGCCGGAGTAGGGCCGGAGTAGGGCCGGAGTAGGGCCGGAGTAGGGCCGGAGTAGGGCCGGAGTAGGGCTCACTCACGGTGTGGCCGCTGTCCCCGCGCCGCTGGCAGCCCACCAGGTGACACTCCTCGCCCGTGGCGCATTTCTTGGTGACCGAGGTGCTCTGGCCCTGCGCCGTGAACAGGTGAACGGTCAGGCAGTACCGGGCACCTGCAACGGGAAATTCCAGAGGGTTATCCACAGGAATGAAACCTTGGAGCTGCTCATCCACAGGAATGAAACCTTGGAGCTGCTCATCCACGGGAATGAAACCTTGGAGCTGCTCATCCACGGGAATGAAACCTTGGAGCTGCTCATCCACAGGAATGAAACCTTCGAGCTGCTCATCCACGGGAATGAAACCTTGGAGCTGCTCATCCACGGGAATGAAAGCTTGGAGCTGCTCACCCACGGGAATGAAACCTTGGAGCTGCTCATCTACAGAAATAAAACCTTTGGAGCTGCTCATCTACAGAAATAAAACCTTTGGAGCTGCTCATCTACAGGAATGAAACCTTGGAACTGCTCATCCACGGGAATGAAACCTTGGAGCTGCTCATCCACACAACGAAACTTTGGAGCTGCTCATCCACAACAACAAAGCTTTGGAGCTGCTCGTCTACACAACAAAACTTTGGAGTTGCTCATCTACAGGAATGAAACTTTGGAGCTGCTCATCCACAGCAACAAAACTTTGGAGCTGCTCATCCACAGCAATGAAACTTTGGAGCTGCTCATCCACATTAACAAAACTTTGGAGCTGCTCATCCACACAACAAAACTGTGGAGCTGCTCATCCAGAGCAATGAAACTTTGGAGCTGCTCATCCACACAACAAAACTTTGGAGCTGCTCATCCACAGCAATCAAACTTTGGAGCTGCTCATCTACACAACAAAACTTTGGAGCTGCTCATCCACAGGAATGAAACCTTTGAGCTGCTCATCTACAGAAATGAAATCTTGGAGCTGCTCATCTACAGAAATAAAACCTTTGCAGCTGCTCATCCACGGGAATGAAACCTTGGAGCTCCTCATCCATGGGAATGAAACCTTGGAGCTCCTCATCCATGGGAATGAAACCTTGGAGCTGCTCATCTACAGAAACGAAACCTTTGGAGCTGCTCATCCACACAACCAAACTTTGGAGCTGCTCATCCACACAACAAAACTT